GTGGCGGAGCGGTGCCCGGGCCTGGGGCAGCGGGGGAGAAGGGGTCAGGCCCCGCGCTTTGGCCTCCCGCGTTTTCGCTCTCTCGAGCCTGCGGGAGTTTGTTCCTGCGTTTCGCGTGGTGGTGGCGCTTGGGCCCTGAGGAGACCGTGCGCTTTAAGCAGTTTCACTTTAAAGCTTCCACCAGGCTTCCGTTTTTCGGTCTTAAAATGCCACGATCAGACATAGAAAATCTCTTTTTGTAGACCTGCCGTAAAGTAGTGATAGGGGAGAAGCAGCAGCAGTGTTGTTTTCCTTTTCTGCTGACATTTTTCTTGTAGCATTTCTACGCCTTTTTCCCTCCCATAGAGGCTATTTTCCAGTCCTGCTGTGGCTGAGGTGTGTCGCATCATGAACTGTCCAAAATTGGAATTCAATTTTGAGTTGCCTCTGAATAGAATCATCAAATTGTTTAGATTGGAAAAGACCTTTAAGATCATAGAGTACAACCACAAACCAAAGGCTGAGGTACTTAATACCTTCTTTACTTCAGTCTTTAATAGTCAGACCAGTTGTTCTCAGGGTACCCAGCCCCCTGAGCTGGAAGACAGGGAGAGGGAGCAGAATGAAGCCCCCTTAATCCAAGGGGAAATGGTTAGTGACCTGCTATACCACAGTGCCAAGACACCTCCTAGATAGGAAGCTGCCTGGCTCTCCAGCTTTCTCAGCTTCCTTCTAGGATTAAACTACAAATCTTTATATGTTTTCCCCTGCATCCAATAAAGGATGGAGATTCTCCTGAGCCCTCCTTTTGTTGCTGATGTATTTATAGAAACATTTTTTATTGTCTTTTATGGCAGCAGCCAGATTAAGTTCCAGCTGGGCTTTGGCCTTTTTAATTTTTTCCCTGCATAACCTCATGACTTGCTTGTGGTCCTCCTGAGTTGCCTGCCCCTTCTTCCAAAGGTCATAAACTCTTCCTTTTTTCCCTTAGTTCCAGCCAAAGCTCTCTGTTCAGCCAGGCCAGTCTTCTTCCCTGGCGGCTCGCCTTTTGGCTCATTGGGACAGCCTGCTCCCGCAACTC